CATTTGACCCAAACCGATAGACTTATCATTACGATTGGACCCAGTCACTCAAACCAAACATCCGGTTATGATACCGACCAGTATACTCCGTAAATAGGCAGGTTATTAATTATGAATTTTAAATCGGATGACTTGCAGTGGGGAATGGTGATACAGCTAGGTACAGCGAATTGATGAGAAATTTTGTTTTCAATTCCAACAAATTAAGTTTCCTAGTTATCGTACTTTGCGGTGTTCTTTATACCTGCGGATACTGGCGTTTACAACGAAACAAAGAAGTATATTAAATTTGGATTTTGATGAATTCGTAAATTATGAATTTTTGTATTTCTACGAATTATTGCATGGGATGTAATAAATATATCAACACCTATTTGTTTTTGTTCAATAAAAGTGCGCAACCATACTATACACATATTTTATTTAAAAAAATTCAACAGGCGTAATAGAAAATAATATATCCTTGTATAAATAGTATTATTCGAATTTCGATTTCGATACCTTTATAAAATGTTTAACGAAAAATCATCTGTTCAACAATTTACAGTAAATATACCTACTCATTTTATGGCTCCGATATTAAAACAACAACAGTTTGCATCGCCGCAGGAATTTTTCCACGATCAAAGTTTTTCAACATAGACTGCAATATTTAGAAACACTGAAACACCATAATTTTCCATAACTGAAAAAAAAAAACAACCGCACCCTTATACCTGTAGTATACGTCTGCCTATAAATACAATACGACCGCGCACCCGGTAATAGGTAACCGTGTACGACACATCATGGTAATTACCCATACCTACATTATACAGGTATGTCTACGTGTATAAAATATTGTGTATTTTTATTTCAATCGCACGCGAGATTGAATTCCGACGACCTTGGCCCGTTTGAACATGAGATTTTTTTTTTTGTTTTCGGCATATTATACCGGCTATACATGTATATAAGTCGCATAGGTAATAAATACACACATGCGTCGAGTAGAGTAGAGCTAGTCTTGCCCAACCATCTCGGACACCGGCCGTGCCTAATTATTAAACACAAAACAATAAAGAGCGCCGGTCGTTAAAACAATATTAACAATCGTGTTATTATAATATTATTGGCAAGCGCAACGTCGTAATGATATTTATACGGGCAACAGGTCGTATGATGCGTTCGTTTTTATATCATAGCAACATTTCATCCGTCTCGATTATCGTTAGCAGGTTTTAATGATATAATATATCATTATTATTTTTTGAGATCGACAGTGACTGTAATAATATAATATAATATTTTATACAATTTCATACCTGAACCGTGCGACAGCGCTTGTCACAAGTTCGATTTTATTTCGTTTCGACGGACGTAGTTATAACATTATAATGTTAGGTACACGTTAAAACAATAATAATAATGATGATTAAGAGAACTATAACGAATGATGAACCTATAATATTAAAATAATAATATGTGAACTGTACTCCAATGCTTGCGTGCGTGCGTTGGTTTCGAGATAATTTTTAAACGCCTGTTGATTTTTTACGGTTTCCAATTAAAACTCGATAAGTGGAACGGCGATAAGTTTTGTTTCTGGAATTCATTTTTAATTAAACATTTTTTTTCCACCGATTTATTCACTTGCTTATTTATTTTAATAAACCTACGGCTGTAAAAAAAAAAAATAATAATAATACCACTCTACAGTAGATCGTATAATAGATGGTAATTTAAATTTTAACACAGGTAGAGTCATCTATATAATATTATTCGTGTAGAATCATATTATGTTTATGTACTCGCTGTGTATACATAACAGGTAGGTTATAAACCTATATAATGCCATACACAGCTTAAGAGTTTCGAGTATAGGCAATAGGTATATAAAATAAGTACTTAACCTACGTGTTTGCGCGAGCAAAAAAAAAAACTTTTTCAAATGTATACACTATGCGTCTATACATCATTTTATTATGAGTTTACCGTCGATAACTTTTGAGATAAAAAAAAAATAATAATAAATCCGTTTTCATTGTTCACATATTCCAACGTAAAAAAAATACATCGTTGGCCCTCGGGCCTTGACTGAAAAGTTCGTGTTGATGACCATTTATACAAACGAGTGCGAATCGATTGAATAATTAAAAACTGCATAATCGAATGGTTTGTAATATTATGACAACGATTGAAACACAAAAAGATGACGGATAATATACAAACATTATTTACAATAATTATTTTTAAACGAATATAATAGAATCGTCATAATAACTATAGTAATAATGTGTATAGCAGTATAATAATTTTCTGAAAAATCGTCCAACTTGATATTATAGTTTATGGTATATCATTTTATCGTAATGATTGATAATAATTTAATGCGGTTAGACCGTTGAAATTAAAAACCATTCGTTTAAAAATAAACTCTACCGCGAAAGCTCGTCGTTTAAAAAACACCAGTTATCAATAATTATTTCCATGCAACGTACACTACTACATAGTACAAATAAAATATTGTTTTATCGAATGTTCCCTAACCGCCTCGAGCGAGCATTACAATAATAAAGCCGTGTAACTGTGCAGCAGCCCGCGTGAACGCCATAATAATAATAATAATAACATAATATCATAATATCATAATAAAAATAATAATAATGATACTATAATACAGTTGTCAAATTTCGCGTGCGCTTTATAATAAAACTGAGAAAAAAAAAAAAAAAAAAACGTGAAAATTCACTGTCAGAAACTAAAACGCACCGCCAACGTCCATTTTGTGTTTAGTAGTTTTCTATACATATTTATATTATATATATTATTCTCGACGGCAATTAATTATACTGTCCGACGTGTAATCAGGTGTGATCCACTTTCGTTTAATTTATTTTACCCAGAAGTAATAAATTAAAATCGAAATAATTGCATCCGCCGGAGCATTAAAAGCGCCACATAAATGTATAAGCGCCTAATGGAAATGTATATAGGTAGGTAGGTAATAGTAGAATAGGTACTATATAGCTGCACCGGTCAAAAATAACGAATCGATTAAAAATCTTAAACACAATTTTTAAAAACGTTTCGCGTCCGAAACGAAAAGTTTGCCAACCGCAGTTAAAATGTGTTTTTAAATATTTTAGAACACGCACGTCGTACTTTTTATCTGAATCACATTATTATAATTATTATTGTTATTATTATATTATCATAACTACGAAAGCCCGTTAAATAATACATCTTAGATACCTACGATCCAAAGTGCACATAACGATACAAAAACAAATATCAATTGAAATAAATTGTAAAGGAAAAACAATTTAAATACCAAAAAATCAACAGCTGATATTATACACCAGTTGATTCTCGCTTATCAGACAATTTTTTTCTTCTACGAATGGATCTCCGGCATTGATAGCTTTTAAATTAGGTGTGTCGTAAATGTTAGCTTAGCGAATTTTCCATACACGTGTTGTACTTAGGTACGTAAAAACAACAGAGACTTAATAAATAACTATCAAAACATTGATGTTAAGTATGCCACTATTGAACCCGTTAACGCAAAATATGTACCTTGTAATCCATAATATAAATATTAATACAATGGATTACAAGGTAAGTACGTTCGTTGTTTAATTGGGTTCAATGGTGACATATTTAATGTTAATGGTTTTATATTAATTAGTTTGGTATTGATCACAGCAATAATAACGTTATACCTATTGCAGTATCGTACATTTTAACATTAGTGTGACAAAATGAGTAATAATAACACATATCTGTACCGAAAATAATAACAATCACAATAATCGCTTTAAATAAATTGAAACAGGCACGATAAGTCATTGGTATAAAAAGGGCCTAAACACAACCGAAATCGATCAGTTCTCGAGAAGCCTAGAGTTACTGTAGCAAGACTATATTATAGTTCCGTCCGAACATTGGCCATCCTTACTTATTTTGGGGTTTCGTTATTATGCATGATATCAGTGTTTAAATTATTTTACTAATCATATATCTCACGTAAATATCGTAGGTACATATTTTACGGTTCAACTGGTCTGCGGACTTTTCATTTTCAACGATCACTTCAAGTTCAAGTAAGTAATTATATTTTCATATAAATGAGATTTATACCTTGAATACCTCGTGTAGAAGAAAATTAAGTTTTCTAAACCTATGCTATACTATCAAACATATGTGTTTAAACACAGACATGAGACATTTTTGAGCACTTTTCTTCGAAAGTGTTCCAAATACGATTTAGAACACTGTTTAAAAGTATTTTATTCCTATACAAAATACCTCTGTATTATTACGATATTTTTTTTGCCTAACGTTTTCTTGGAAATTATTACGGTATAATTCACATTTTATGTTTATGGTATTTTTATTTTTTAGAAATACATATTGAAATTTAATTTTTAACCTATGACAAAGCAAGAAATAAAATCAAGAACCTTTGATACACTGAAGTAATATTTGTGTTTAAAGTGTTTTTTTTATTGAATAGGTAATAACAATAAATTAATAAAATCACTACTTTAAGTGGTAATTGTTTTTTTTATAGATTTTATTGACTTCGTGTGTCTTACTGCAATCATATAATAATTATAATATTGTTAACTAAGCAAAATAAAATTGAACCTTCAAATATTTTTATTTTTCTTTAATACCTACCTATTTGTTTTTCGGTATTTCGGTACACTGTACACATTTGTTAATGTATTAATGTTTTAAATAAAAACAATACCTTTGATAGAAAAATATTTAAAAAATAACTGTTTATGACACAATAAATGTTTAATTTGATACAAGAAAATACAGAAACCAAAAGAATATTGTAAGAATTTCTAAAAGTATTCGAAATACTGGGATAAATATGAATATTTTTATACTATTTTCGAAAAGTATTTGAACACAATATATTCGAAATATCATTTTTTTGATTAATGGGATTGTTTATTCTAATAATTTTCATAAAGTATTTTACCCATGTCTGTTAAAATCATTTTTCAAATCAAAAAGTGTTTTAATTGGATATCAATTAAAAAAACTCATTTAAAATCTCAACTCCTTACCCGCAGCTATTCACATAGGTAATAGTTATAACGTATAGCTCAAAATGAATAATCGATGTCAAGAACTGCAGTCCAAACCCCAATGGCTATAATTTATTATTATGATTATTTTATTAATTCAGTTATTATCTAATAACATTCCAACTTGAATATATATTATATACAATAACGTGGTGATTAATTTATGTCAGACATCAGCCAGTTTTCCTCGTGTTCCGATTCGTCTCAAAGCAACAGGCGGCCGCCGATCGAACTTCTTCGCAGCCGTGCCCGGAAAATCGTCGGTGGTCAAAGACCGAGGTCGTCCGGAAGTAGAGAGGGGGAGCCCGAAGATCGGCCGACGGGCGGACATGGACCGGATATTCCGGGGTATAATGAAGTACCGGCGGACGAACAGAGCGAAGATGGTCGAGCAGTTCGCCCAGGTGAAAAACCGGCCGGAGCCCAAAGCTTTGTTTTTCACTTGTATGGACAGCCGTATGCTGCCCGCCAGGTTCACCGAATCCAACGTCGGCGACATGTTCATCGTCCGGAACGCCGGAAATCTGATCCCGCACTCGCAGCATTTCCCGGACGAATACGCTTCGTGCGAACCGGCCGCCTTGGAACTGGGGTGCGTGCACAACGACATAAGGCACGTCATCGTTTGCGGGCATTCCGACTGCAAGGCGATGAACCTGTTGCACCTGCTCCAGGACACGGAATACGGAAGCACCGTCAACCGCCGGAAGTCGCCGCTCCGGGCGTGGCTCTGCTCGCACGCGATGTCGTCCTTGGAAAAGTACCGACAGCTCGAGGCGGCCGGTTTCGGGGCGCCGCTCATTTTCCAGGCCGAGACGCCCCTGCGCAGGATAAGCGCCTACATAGATCCGGGGGACAAGCTTTCCGTCACCTACAAGTTGTCGCAGGTCAACACCCTGCAGCAAATCCAAAACATCGCCAGCTACGATTTCCTCAAGAGGCGTCTAGAGGCGTACGATCTGCACATACACGCTCTTTGGTTCGACATTTACACCGGCGACATACACTACTTTAGCAGGCAGAGCAAACGGTTCGTAGACATAAACGAAAACAACGTGGACAGACTGGTGGAAGAGGTGTCCAAGTACTATAGCTAAGAGACATTGCGATTCTGCAGGTGACATCCATCCATCCATCCATCCATCCATCCATCCATTATACGTATACACAGACGCACACGCTCACTATCGCAAAGACTTAACTCGGTGTTTAATATTAATTATTGAGACTACCAAGGTATAAAACGACTTGGTGTACCCATACTATGTCATGTACATCCCGACTAAACAATAATAATTTCATTACCGTAGGGACTTAATTTAAAACTAAGACTTGTTTTTTAATCATTAGTATTTTTTATAACGTATTTTATTTTTGTATAATATATAATATAAGCTAACAAGTACATATTATTATTTTTCGCTGATTAAAAGTCATGCTTGTGATAAACTACCTATAATGTTAGTGTATCCTAAATATTAGTATCTTGAATATTTATGTGGAATAAAATTCACTATATTTTACGATGATATACCAGTCTTCACTATTAGAAAAACTTAAAAATACCGTCGAGCAGAGTAGTTAGGTTGACTCAAAAAAAAAATTAGATTTCACCTTTGAAACACGGAACAAAAAGGTAATTAAGATAAAATGACAAATGCCCCATCAAAAAAAATATAACAAACATGATTAACATAAGCACCAGTAATACCTAGAAATGTTCACTATAAACTAATAATATACAACTCACGATAAATAATAAATGTTGGGTTTCCAGTTCATAAAAATCAATAATCATAATTTACTATTATGGCATAACTACAACATCCCTACAAGTAGTACATTATTACGTTATTTTTATCGTATAATGTGGTAATTCATTTGTGTTCGATAGTGGTCGGTGTCTGTAATTTTATTTGTATTCGTTACAACACATAGAACGAACCACCCACCGACGAGAAAAAATGGTCTGGGGACATTTTATAATCTTATATAAGTTATGATTGTGAAAAAAAAGTAAGCCAGCACTCAAAGCATTTCTTGTTATAATTAATATTATTATTATTATTGTTATTATTACTATAGGCTTATGTTCTTATTAATTATTATGTACACATATTTTTTCCATTAGCCGAGTTTGTCAATGGATATTTTCTCTAATCACGTGACACTTCATGTTATTGTAATATTATTATTACTTTACATTCAACAATTTAGCTATTGCATTATATTTTATTTATTTATTTTAACTATATACATACAGACCAAAACCCGACTAGACAAGAATAACGCATAGTATATATCATTAGGAACTAACTGCGATCACCCATACTCATTAGGCTGGTTACTTAAGACAAAAAATATAGAATATTGTGCTCGAACAACGGGGCGGGGGGAGGGGTCGTATTGTGTATGCGTGTTGAAACAAAATAAAAAAATGTGGAGATTAAAACGTTCCGTTCGCTCGGAATCTGAAATACGAAAAAAAGGAAAAATAATTTTCGCGCCTAAAGACTCGGGCAGGTACGTTGTATGAATCAAAGTTGTATGTATAAGTAGCCTGATTTAAGAACAAAAAGGAAAATTTACCAGAAATCGAATAATAATCACTAGCATTGTGTGCATGAAACGAGCATAATGGCGTACGTATCATATAATATGTTATGGCAGAGCGAGTTGCACGTAATAAGTAAGCATTAAATATTATGATTACACGATTTTTATTTTATTTTTCTCGTTCGGTTTAAATGAACACACAATTTACGGATGCACACACACACACACACACACACACACACACACACACACACACACACAAACCGGCAACGTAAAATTACGACGTCGATTTACGAATTCACGATTCGTAAGCTCACCTTCTTTGAAAGGTTGACAGTTACCGGAGCCTTTCCATACGCATTACGTATTACGTGTAGGTAGGTGCACGAGAAGGTTCGTACATTTAAATATTTAAATTTTGAATTCATTTCGCAAAAAAATATAAACCAAGCTATATGGCGGTGGTCCCGCGGTACAAGCGGTGTGTATAGGTCGTACCCGAATAAATGTACCATCACAAATCTAATTATTTTTCCACGCTCCAGATGAATTCACAATTTAAACATTTCGACGAGAAAAAAATATATAAAAAACCCTGAGTAAATTTGTACAACGAGGCTAGGGCGTATTAGCTGTGTGAAATGTGACGACAACATTGTTTGTGTAGCCGTCGAGTAAATATATAATATATGTATTTAGGTACCAACATTATTGTGCGCTGTACGACCATTATAATAAACCTACCACGGGTGGGCACGTGCCGACTTATTTGTTCGATTGAGGCTGTTTAGCCACAGCGTCTCTCCCCCCCCCCTCTCTCTCTCTCTGTCTCTCTCTATCCCGCTCTCTGCAATTGTATCTGATTCGCGTCACGTCGGCACAGGAGTATATTGGCTTATAGGTTTTATCGAGCAGCTTAATATCGTTTCGTTACTTACACAATAGTCCCAGCGGACGAGGTATATTAATCTGCAAATTAAAGCTATTAGACTCATTCGGTTCGCGCGTTTCATCCTCTTAAAAAAAAAAAAAAAAATGTAATCAAATCTATTCATGTCATTATAATACGTATCGCACAAATAATCGTAAGCGAAATGAAATGTTTATGTAAAACGAATCAAATTGAATTTAGATATATTCGAATACATTGCACAATAGTTTATACTTGAAATAATTCTAAATCACGTACGACCAACGCGACTTGCAACTATAAATTTTTTCTATGAACCGACTGACATGATATAGTACTACAAGGGTAGGTACATCTGTGTCCACCCCCGAATGTCATCGCCCCCCCCCCACCCCCAGGATTATTTAGGTCGCGGACGGGGATCGACATAAATTATTACGAGAATAAAATATTATACGCTTATGCAATTGCAGATCATGTTGTTCGGTCACCGCAGTAAAACGTTTTAACACTAAAACCACTAAATTATAATATTGCAAAGTCGCTTGTATGTACGTACGTGTGTATACAAATCGTACGGATTCGACGTCAACTCGTTATTCATCGCCGTGTCGATGCGTGTGGGTAAAGGTAGGCAGCGCCTTCAATTAAGTCGATGAAATACAAAAGTGACTCGTCGGGTTAAAATTAGCATAACGCGTAATGTCATGACTTTCACTTGTCCGGTGTCCCGCGGCCGCGAGAAACGATTTTTATTCAACAGACATGGCGAATCCGCGAAATCGTTCCGCAAAACACGACTGACACTTTTTTACGTCAATTTCGTCGAAATCGCGATAAAGTATATAATATTATATTGTGTACATAGCTGGGCCAGCTTCGAGAGCGAACAACAACTGTGCAACTGAATGTACCTGTACTGTGAAGAGTTTTTTTTTTTTTTTGTTTAAATTTATGTTTTCCGTATAGCCCGTCCACAATAAATCACACTAAACCTAAAGTTTTGTGTATCACTGCCAATATGTATGCGCACCTGTGGTTTTACACAGAAAAAAAAAAATCATTACGTCTTTCATAAATTTATTATTGTTTGCGAAAAGAGACAGTGTACCTATATTATAAATACGTCCGTCTGGTTGCAGCTGACGATAACACGCAGTCGTGGTACACCGAGCCTGGGCATAAACGGATTAAAGAGTCAAGTTGATTTTAACTTAACTTTTTTTAATTTAATCATCATTGACTAAATATTTGACTTGACTGCTTTTTGACGATTTAAAAACTTAATAAAATATAACGAGTTGTACTGGTAATCAAATCCGAGTTTCGTAAATGTATAGATGTATAAATAATAAATATATTATAGTTATTATTCATGGTGCAAAAACATTTACTTCTTATTAATTAAAGCCACATCGCCGGCGATTTTTATGTATTTACAAAAATAAAAAACAATTTAACTAACAGGGCTGAAAAAAAAATTAGGATGACTGTGAACATTAAACTTTTCGAATTGTCTTATGCATCAACTTAACTTGACTCAGTTAAAAATGGTCATTAACTTGAACAGGCTTGTGTAATACCACCATTATAATATACTGGTGTACCGTTTACAGTTCGGCTATTGTACATTTGTTTATATAATATAGGTACCTATAGCCATTACATTAATCGTTCTAAAACTATAGACTTCTCGATTTTAATTTTTTAGCTGCCGATAAAACGTTTGCGATTTGCATAGTATCAATTAATAGGTATGCACTTAAAGTGTATTTGTTAAAATTCCTATCTCATATGAAACTATTTGGACGTTAAAGTATTTTAAACGCTCTGCGTGGCAATTATCAAGATAATTGCAGTTCAGCGTATTTCTCTCTTTTTTTTTTTTTTTTTTTGTTACAAGAGAACCTTATTAAATCAGTAATCACCATAAAACAGGTATAATTATGTTAGGTACCTATATATCTAACAAAAAGTGTAAATCACATTAAAAAACGAAATTGTCGAAAATGTCGTTATTGCCGCCGTTATATACCAAACACCGGTACGTGTACCGGTTTGAGTATTTATGTATTACCGAACTGCCGACAATCAAATAAAATTCCGTAGGTCCTAACACAGGCATTGGATCAACAGGTTTTCAATGGCCAGCGGAGTTGCCGAAACATTATCGATTTCCAAAAATGCTCATCCCGAAACCGAATTTTGAAAATACGCGAAAAATGTCGCCGCTGCAGCGTTGTTATATTACCGGCAAACGTTTCGTCGGGAACGCTTCGCCGGAGGGGACATCGCTCGACAGTCGACGTAGATTGACATCGATAAAAAAAAATTTCATGTCGACAAACGGTAAATATTATCTACATCTGCGTTGTATAATGATAAAATATGAACAAAAAATCGATTCATTATATTATCGTACGTCGATAATTTATAAATCGTTTTCGTATCGGCGGGGCACGTGACACAATATCAAACAAACTATAATTTCAGTTTTTTTTTTTTTTTTTTGTACGCTCGGCGAAGGTTTACACGCGTTCGGTGAGTTTAGGTGACTGCACTTAAAACATTACGTTTTAATTCGGATTCCCCGATAGTCCAACCGAAACGTCTCAAAATGTCTCTCGATCGAATTCAACCATTCGGTATGCGGTAATGGATCGTATAGGTTACCTATAAACCGAAAATGGGGACACCGGCGATTAATAACTACTATTATGAATTAAGCAAGCCCGCTGTGCAGTCGCTCCGGGATAACGTCATCGGACGACCTAAGTGCACGTATGACGTAGGTATATTATACCTCTTTAAATACCGATAATAATATATGAAACGTGGTAATGGTGCGATAGGGACGGCGTTCGCGGTAATCCGGCAGATGGACAGATTTCTGTATAGTATTAGATATTATATCGAACTCCCGCTATCAGTCGACGCCTGGTTGTCGGTTGGCATCGAGTGGTATTTTACAATATGGTAAATATTATTAATTATTTTGTCGCGTCGTATACTTTATTGTTCTTAAACGTGTTGTTTAAAAAAATGTACACATATTTTACATTTATTATTTTATTTTATCATTGAAAACGATGTCATTCCTAATACATTATAATGTGTATAATCGATGAAATGTTCTGCCGACCGACGAAATGGCTACGTGAGTTTCACTGATAACATTACAAATAATATAGGAGTTTCTTATCTTGTGTCGCCACGTCTAGACACAACTAAAACCGCCTTCGAGGATAAGAGCAAACGGCGAGAACAATTCAAGTTCCCTGCAGTGACATCGAGCAATGAATGACTGATCAGTAGTGGTTTTGACAAAACTTAATTGCGGGGGGGGGGGAGGATTAGTGGAGTGGCACAAAATACGATTTCAAGTTCAAATGCTGATGAATTAATGGGTCGCTTAGACCAGCGTTCGCCAACCTTTTGGACCTCGCGGACCACTAAAACCATATTCTAAATTCTACGGACCACGAGTATAGCTCATAATAGCTTTTTACATAAATACCGTTCCACTACTGATAAATTTTACACCGAATTAATATAAAAAAATACATACTTAAAATAATTAAAAAAGGTTTTATTTATGACGAAATCTTTAGGTTTTAATTAAACGTTCGTGTGATATTTGTTCCTGTTTGTTTTGAAGAATTTCGTGCGATTTCGGCTCCAATGTAGTCACTGCAAGTTGTAGAGCTTTACTTATTTCTAGCTGATTTCTAGCTACTTTTCTGCGGAACACCTAAATTTTTTCTCGTGGACCACCGGTTGGCGACCGCTGGCTTAGACGAAAAATATCGATTTCGCTCTAACCGCTCAGAATTGTACGCAATGGTTTATCATTCAGTTCAAATACAACTGGCACCCATTAAAGTGACGAGGTAGGTACATTCGTTACTTATTAATTGCACTGCAGAGCGAATTATTTTTTAATTGGGTTTAGTTTTTCTTTTATTTCTATAGCTAACGTTTTCCAATTATTTTTTCCATTTTTTTACAAACATTATTTAACTTTATTTTATACGTGGCTCGATTTTCAAACAACGTTCGTGCCTACAAACAATTATGTAGATGGCAAATAAACATAAACACCGGTGGCTTACATCATACGGGTACAATGTGCATACAACACACTACAGAGTGTAACAGAAACAACTGAACAAGCAGAAAATGTTAACAACATCATTTTTTTTTTTTTTTTTTTAATCAGATTTATTTATAAAACAATTTAGAAACATATTTTTAGAAATTAAAAATTATTCTTTAAAAAAAAAAAATGTAAACACTCTTTACGCTAATGACCTACTTTGTTGTCGAAACGA